AATGTGTGTGTCTGAATGTGTGAAACTCTGTGTAAATATGGTCGATAACTAACACATATATGAAAGATCTAGTCATGTAAAAAAATGTCTACATTGTGTAAATAAATGTGAACGTGTGAGGCAGGAGGAGAGAGGATTGTACGAGTGGTTTGTTGGTTTGTGCTGCACAGGAGGCAGACGGGTGAAGTTTGCCACACGACCGGTGCCAGAAGATTGAACACAATCACAACTACGTCCATTAGGTACAGAAGCAACATTAACTTGTAAAGCTGAGAACTGAGGACATTGACCAAGTTTTCATTTTACTCTAACTTTAATGCAAATTTCAATGATATTCTATGTATTGTCTTAAACAGTAGATCTGTGTTATCTAAGTTCTTCCTTGTCAAACAGGGATACACTATTTTCATTAGTAGTCTAGAGATGGCAGCCAAGTTATCTTAGCTTAGCATTAAGACTTAAAACATAGGCAAATTGTTTTCATGCTTTTAGTTTTTAGTGCGAAACTTTCCAGAGAAACTCTACGTGAGAACGAAGATGTCTGAGAAAGTCGCTCTGGACATTGTCCGGAACCTTTCCTGCCAATCCTCTTATTAAAATGTCCGGAGGACAATGTTGGTCAGTTCTCAAAGCTGTGAGCAGCAACTATTTATTTTCTAGTCATCTATTGTCAAGAAGCTGCTGTAAAGATATCTCAAAACTTTAAGCCTTTAACATCCTCAGCGAGATGTCCGAGTATCATTGATGCACTGAGTGGCGCAATATGAATTGTCTTATTATGGCAAACTCCACCCATCAGGGTTGAAGACAAGTTAAAGTGATAATTAGCAAATACAGGATGTCTGAATAAAATAGAGAATGAACGATAAAAAGAAAAAGAGTTGAATTGCAGGAGGACAGTGATGGCCGCCTTTGTGTCTCTCTTGCTGTCGTTGCGAGTATCCAGGGCACACATTGTCATATTAGCATATTTTCCTAAACAGATAAACAAACTAACTAACAGATATTGACTGTCACAAAAAACAAAAACAAACAAAAAACACATGGGGACAATAAACCTCCCAGCACCAGCATAATAATTGATACAAGTGGAACTGAGAGTGAAGAAGCTCTGAGACGCCACACACACGCACGCACACGCACACACACATCAAACATTGCCCCCAATCTGATTTATCATCAGCCTCTTTAAATGTTAGGGAGTGTCATGGTTACGTTGCCCCTCCGTCGATTTCACTGTTGTTATGTTTGTCCTGTAAAGGCCACCGTCCTCCCCCACTCATGGGTTAACCCTATGTTTTGGTCATGAAAACAGCCAGGGCATGTCGGTTACTCCTGATCCAGGACCAGGACATATCTCCATTTCCTGTGTGTTGGAAATTTCAGTCACAGAGTAGGTCTTAGAAATATTTACAGGAAGAATATTGGTAGGGAAGCTAAGGAGATCAAAGTGTTACTCACTGTCGTCATGCTCAAATATACTCCTTGGCCATAAGTAGATCTTAATTTATGTTTTTGTTCCTTACGTTTGCTACGGAGGTTGCTACAAAGATTGCCTCCCACCCAGTGATTTCATATTTTCAACATACTTCCTGGAAACAAACTTTTTAATTGTTCTGAGTCAGTAAATTGACCAAAAACACCACAGTCCACGGTGCTTATATGTCGTATAGCAGTCGTGGAACAGGGCAGGGTCTACAGCCTGCAGGGCTCTTGTCTCAGACGCACTCACGCCATAAGATAAAGGGGTACGACTTTCAAATACCCACAGTGATAAGAACACATGGAAGAACATAACAAAAGACACACAACATGCATGCTGTTACAGGGCAACGCACACTGAGCCTCCAGGAGGCCGACGTAAAGACAATCAGTTGTTGTCTATGTGGAAATGACATGCAACTCAATTTCTTAGCTATGCCAGGGCGACACTTGTCTCTGTCATACGGAAACTGTCCTCTGGTTCCCTCTGTGTAGACTCCAGGACATTCCTCTGGCATATAGTCTGGTACATCCATGCCAATATGTCTTAGAGTGGGAGTCAGACGGGTCCAAGCGTAAACATTCACAGTCCAGTCTAAGGTTCCATGTCTTAAATTCATTGGTCCATTCATTGGTCCTACATCCAGCACTTGAGACCTTTATCAGAAGTACAGATTAAAACATCTTCCAACACATTTTTTCTCATCTCATGAAAATCTTTTCCCCCTCTCTGGCCTCCTCAACATTTCTTCACCAGACAGTGTTTAAAGGCGGAGGGGCGAACACCCAGAATGCATCCTTTGGACAGTTTCCCATCCTGGTCCTTGCACTGCACTGTCCGGCTCTGCCAGCCAGTGTCACACGTCCTGGAGCAGGTCATCCAGGGACCTGTTACCCACTGGGGCCCTGGGGTTGGGGTTGAGGGACCTGGAGCTGTAGTTGGCCCTGGGTCCAGTGCAGAGGATGTAGTACTGGTGGTGGTTCTCGTCGTGGTTGAGACTGTCGTAGTGCTCTGCAAGGTGGTTGCCTTTGGAATGGGGATGAGCGGAGCTGACGGCTGCTGTGGGGCTGTCCGGCGCGGCATGAAGAAGCTGTAACGAACATCCAGGGGCTTTTTGGCATCCGTCGCTAGAATCTGCACCACCAAGGGTTCTAAGAGAGCCCCGGGGCCCATGCTGTGAAGCCATTCGTCCCTTTGGCTCCACCCACTGTAGTTGAGCACAGAACCGTTGAGCGGGATGATCGTCTCGGAGGTGGAGATCATGAACTTGCCGTTCAGGAGGTACTCGCCGTTGGGCCGTCGGAGGGCCAGGTAGGCGGTGTAGCGGGTCTGGTCCTTGGCCTTGTGTTGACGAACCTTTATGTGGGTGGAGCCCGCGGGGATCTTCAGCACATCAGTGTAGCCCTTACTGTTTGGACAGAGAGGAGAGATCAGATCGGTGCACAACACAGTTCTATCTCTGCCAGTAGGCTTTGCAGCAGCCAAATAAACAGGTTTTACCTCCTTCTTAAAATGCAACAACCTTAAATTAGCGTTAGACTGAAATGAACAGATCAAGAATATTGATGGATTTATCTGTTGGTCATTATTATCAGCTGATATGAGCCTTTCATAGACATATCCATGAAAAACGTTTTAATACAACACTTTAAACAATGCACAAAATATGCACATTTTATTGACAATTATTTGTGTTTTCTTTTTATCCAACTTCACAGTTAAACAGTAAAATATCAGGTCTCAATTAAATTTCTTGGTTTGATAAAAACATATTAGGAATCATTGAGCCATTACTATATACTATTATTAATTATTATAATGCAAACATGTGTCTTCTCACCTCTTCTTTGTGAAGTTGCCCATCACACGCAGACACCCAGTGCTGTCCCCCCCACATATACCACACTTGTCGAACTGCAGTTTGGAGCCGATGATGCCGTCGCACCCCGTCCGCACACACTTCCCCTTCACACACACCGAGCTGCTGTACGGACGACACTCCGTCCCCTCGACCACCTGAACACAGAGTCACGATGTCACCGTCATCCTTCACTCTTCTGTTTCTTCAGGGAATACAGTGCACCATGTGTAACTCACTCACCCTCTGGGCAAACACCACGTAGTATCCTGTTCCTTTCGCTCTGCAGGTCAGCTTGCAGACATCTTTGGGGAGGACTCCTGCGTATTTAGGCACCCACTCGACAAAGGTCTTCACCCCTTTAGGATCAGTCTGGGGGCCATTACGCACCTCGCACTGCTCCTGACGGAAACTCTTATCTAAAGAAAACAAGTTTTGCGATAAATTAACTTTATCTTGAGATATTGTGTCTATCACCCTGTTGTAAGATTATAACCAAGCATGTGTTCTCAGGCTGTTGCACTCACTCAATGCTGGACACGGCGTTACGTTGCAGGACCGATAGATGGCCCTCTTCCCGGTGCAGTAGCGCCCGTTGTTCCGCGGCGGCGGGTTGTTGCACAGACGCTGGGCGAACTGCACCCCGCCCCCGCACGTTCTGGAGCACCCACCCCAAGGACCCCAGGAACTCCAGCTGCCATGGTTGGACACCTGGGAGAGGGAGGAGGAGGAGGGGAGGAGTGAAAAGAAAAGTAGAGGAGAGGGGAAGATGAAAGAGGAGATGCGGGTCAGGAGGGAGGGATGACAGCGGAGGAAAGATCAGAGAGTAGATGATGAAGAGAAGAGAAAGGGAAGAGAATTACAGATTATAGGGGACAATTAGCGCTTATCAGACATGTTAGAAGATAAATTGGTTGCAGCCCAAGCCACGTGTCAGAGAAAGCCCCGTGGTTTGAGATTTGTGATAAGGAAAAATGTGGCCTGCACCGTGAGAGAAAAGGAACGTGGCTAAACTCATGTGATGATAACTTCAATGTGTTTAAAGCCACAGCTCACATGCTTCCCCTGAAGAGCAGAAAACCTCAAGGTAACGCTCAGTCCTTATTTTGGGTTGAATTTATAATCCTGAAGCTTCTTTGGAAGCAAGCTTTTCATTGATTTCCACTGCTGATCCATCTCGTTTCCACAGTAAAAGCTGTTTAATCTGCAGTAAAGCTGCAAGAAATATATAAAAGTTTCAGTCTGATTCGGAGGCGGTTTAATGTTGCTCTGAGCCGTAAACTGGTCATCACACAGCGCAGCGGAAAACGAAGCCAGTCAGAACTTGGCCGGAGCTGCGGGTGTGTGGTCGCCGGCCAAAGATTGAGTCCAGACTCTTCAAAACTTGTGTGACAAATACATATAAAGAAAATATTCTTTCACTCTCTTTTCTCTCTGTAACACACACACACACAGTGTCAACAACTTGCCAAGAGCAGATTTGGTGCTTTAAGTCATTAAGGCCAAATTCAATTTAGATCTGCGTGAGTGAGGCCAAGAGAACAAATAGCGTAGATCAGCAGTGGCATAAATAAAGGAGACCACACAATGAGGAACCAATAATGTCTTTGCTTCCATCTGTTTCTCTCTTAGTGGCTGTGTACTGTGTATTTAAGTGTAATTTTATCCCTAAGTTGTGTCTCAAGTTCTTTTCCTGGATATTGAAAAAGAACACAGTGCTAGGAGCTGTGTGACATCGGCTGTCTAGCTATGAACAACGACTCCAGTAGCAGCACACACCAGAGGGTGTTATTTTTTCCATATATACTTTATATTAATGTCATTACAGAGAAAACAGATGATTCTGCATTCTACCGAGATGCTTTAAACCCTAGGTGGTGTTATGAGCCACAGTCAACCCGTAAAATATCAGTTTTATATAAACAGTGATCTATTTTTGATTTGTCTCCCTTGATAAAAACTTCCTGTCTCCGCCACCTTCTCCCTCATGTTCTGCTCCCTCTTACCGAGTAGTGTCTCTTGCGGGTCTTGTCCACACACTTCCCCTGCAGGCAGATGCGTCCCTTCCCGCAGGGCGTCCCCTCCACAGCCGGCAGCTTCTTGGTCAGACACACCATCTGCCCCTGGCGGATCACTGCACACCACAGCCGAGAGCACACATCCATGCCCGGGCAGACGGTGTACTCTGGGCCAAAGGCCAGGCGGCACTGGCGGACGGCGTCATAGCTCTGCCCCGGGAGCTCCTCGGAGCCAAGGAGGGGCTGGCGAGGAGAATCGAGGAGACACTCGGCTGTGGCAGAGAGGAAGAAGGAGGATTTTCTTAAAGAGTCTGCTACCTGCACACTCTTGGCACTCCAGGGCATGGAAAAATGTCTGTCTTAGTCTTTTCTGCAGCAGCCAGAATACAGTCAAGCCTGTACGATGCTGCTGCTACATGAATTATGCCACCAGTGATGGCTTAGCAGAACGTCAACAACAATGCTTTATGGCCATCATGAAAGACACTTCCCCACGAATCGGAAACGCAAAGTATGACACGTCTTGATTTCCTGCTTCAATTTGCCTCTGGCTGCACTACATCTGCACTCTTTAACATTTTAATGGGATTGTAAATTAGAGATTACATATTTGGTTGGTTGTAAAAAGATGTCATTGATATGTACTGCGGGATAACATCCATCATGAGGTCAAATTCACATGGAGGTAATTTCTGGAGGGAGAAAATAAAACCTCTACTCGCTGGAAAAGGTTCTCGCTATTAACAGGATCGCAGATGTTTGCAAAACCACAAGCGCGTCTATTACTCCATACTTCCTGCTGCGCTCACCGTTGCCGTCGTCGAAGAAGTCGATAATGGTAGCTGAGGTGCAGCGGCTCCAGGGCTTGGAAGCGTCGATGGAGGTCAGGATGGAGGACATTAGCCGCTTGTCGCTGTTCACCCCGAAGCGCTCCTCACAAAACTTGGAGTCGTCGTGGGACAGGCCGAGCAGGTGACCTGGAGCAGAGAGACAGAGAGAGGACGTTTTTCAGGAATGTTACAGTCACATAATGTGCAGAGTTTATATGAGAGAACAGGACTCGCCTCAGGTTTGCACTTGCTGCAAGAATGAGAAAAGAAAACAAACAGAGCGCTCAGGCATCAGGTGCAAAACAGCACTTGCATGATATTAATCAGTCAGAGAGAGAGATGCTGACAAAGTGCAACGTGCATGCCCCGGCTGGTCTGGCTTGTGTGTAGTTATGTGTCTGTCTATCCATGCCTACCTATTTCATGTGCGACAGTGAATGCAGCGTGAAGCCCGTCGTCCTCGATGACGGCGCAGCTTCTCTCCGGAGAGCAGATGGTCCCCACATCCGCCATCCCCAGGGTGTCGCAGGAGTGGTGGCCGCAGAGGTCCTGGACAAAGGAAACAGATTATGAAACACAAAAATGGGAAAGATATCAAACATCCTCCATCCCAAGATGCCAAATAATCCATATAAATCATAACTGTCTCCTTTCAGGCATTGTGGAAAGGTACTGCTCAGTAAATGTCTTTCACTGATCTTCCATCCTTTCCTTTTTTGTGTTGCCATATTTTCCACCGTGCAGAGTTTTGCCTCTTTCAGTCCTTCTTCATCTGCTTCAATGCAAAGGGCCAATTGTTGGAAGGTTTGCAGTTGAAGTTGATTTCATAACGGCGAAATCTGAGATAATCTGTGATGAAGAAGTGTAAAATTGTGATGACACTTAATAAAAGGAGGCACATCCTCCCTTATCCCTCTTTTCCCTCCAACAATTCTAATAATGTTTTCATCAAAACAGGATCCAAACTTCATCCTTCCAAAGCTCCCAAAGCTTCAAAAACAGTTTACTACACCTCCCATAATGCAATCTGCCTCTCATCGATCAAGCCTCCCAGACGAGTCCACAAAAGACATTACACAACAATTTTCAGAGGCCGAGTCACACTCTCTTTAGCCATACTGATTCAAGTAAAATTGGATCAGTGCCCCTTTAATTTTTAACTTCCTTCCTGTGCCTCCACCATCTCTCTCTGTGCCTCACGGGGCGCCGGAGTGCACGCCATTGATCTTTGTTTTGATTCCCACACATGTCCATGCAGATGAGGCCTTGGGGAAGCGCAGCCCTGCCCTGCTGAGTGCACGGATCAATCGCCTCATCAGTCTGTCACATCCAGGCACACACGCCCGTGCATGCACACTACTCAGTGCAATGCGGCGCACTTGTGCGACAAGTAAACATAAATGTATGACGACACACACTGGCATGTGCACAACCAAATAAAGGGTAAACACATGCATGAACACACACACACACACACACACACACACACATATGTCCGGTGGAGAGGATGAATCGTCATGACAGGCCTGCTGGGTCATGTGTGTGAAGCGCTCAGGGGAGGGTGTTTACCCTTTCTGGGCCGATCGGTTTGGAACAAACTGCCTTGTGTTCTGTGCTCA